ATTTGCCAAGTAAACGATATGACGATTTTTAAAATTTGCTACACTGATTTTATAAAGTTGTCGTTTGCCGCAAAACATAAAGATATGGCGTAGTACAGTGCCATCTGCCCATTTCTAGCATGCTGAATGTTATCGTATTTTGAGTACGTGTTTTTCTTAGACTATTACAATCTATTTTAATTGTTTTGCTGACTCTAAAGTCCGTAACACACTACCGCAGCGCACCTCAAGGAAGGTACGCCGCACCATTTGAATCACTCTCACTTGAGAGTGATTCAAATTTTAAACTTATCAAGGGACCGCCTGATAAAAAAAAACACCTACAGAACATTTATTCGTTAATAAAATTACAAACGTCATTCCTTGTGACTTCCTCTCTAAAATCACTTAATTATTAAATATTTAACGAGTTGACAATAGTGTTATAAAACTATTTTATTTAAATAGTTCCGACGACTTTCTTGAGATCCTATAAAATATGTTTTAATTATTATTTTTGTATGTTTTAAGCATGATAAAATAAGAAATTTTATATAAGCAATCATATTAAATCGATATCAAAGTCAATAAATAATGTACAACCCAAAACAGACGGCCGAACTGACGTGACAATGACATTTGGCGCGCTAAACATGGCGGATTTTCGGCCTCATTAGACGGAGACGGAGACATTTACGTATATTCATGTTTCATTTTATGTACGCACTGAAATACTGTTATATTGTTTTCCTGCGAGTTAAAGTGCTGAGTAAGAACGAGATAGATATATGTTTATGTATGTGCCTTCAAAATGGGTGCTATTTATATAAGCAATTGTACGTATAGAACAATATGTCGTGTACCTACTATATAGGTCTATGCTTAGGACTTGCAACCTATAAGAGACGTACTGGTCATTTCTTAACTGATAATTTAAAAGAGAATAGGGTGGTAATATCGAAACAACTACTGAAGTGGTACGCAAAGGGAGGTCATAGAAATTTTTTGTTTACGGATGAGAATTTTTTTACAATTGAGCAACATTTTAACAAGCAAAATGACCGTATTTATGCTCAAAGCTCTAAGGAAGCTTCCCAATTAGTCGCCAGAGTGCAACGTGGGCACTATCCGACTTCAGTGATGGTTTGGTGGGGTATTAGCTATGAAGGAGTAACTGAGCCATACTTTTGTGAAAAAGGTATCAAAACATCGGCACAAGTGTATCAAGATACCATTCTTGAGAAGGTAGTGAAGCCCCTTAACAACACCATGTTCAATAATCAAGAATGGTCCTTCCAGCAAGACTCGGCGCCAGGTTATAAAGCTCGGTCTACGCAGTCTTGGTTGGAAACGAACGTTTCGGCCTTCATCAGAGCTGAAGACTGGCCGTCGTCTAGTCCCGATCTTAATCCGCTGGTTTATGATTTATGGTCAGTTTTAGAGAGTACGGATTGCTCTAAACGCCATGATAATTTGGAGTCCCTAAAACAATCCGTACGATTGGCAGTGAAAAATTTTCCCATGGAAAGATTGCGTGCTTCTATTGATAACTGGCCTCAACGTTTAAATGACTGTATTGCAGCCAATGGAGACCACTTCGAATAAGCTTTTTATACTTTAAATTGTTTTATATTTATGCATTAAACTAACACACTGTAAAAGTAATAAATGTTATTTGCAATAGAATTTTTTTAATTTTTAATTATAACAGTATTTATGGCCAGACTAAGTATTTGCACATATTACTTTAAATACATTTAAACAAATAAATAAATGATAAAGTGTTAGCACGTTTAATCGCGCACCCTTGCTAAATTAAATCGAATTTATTATTATGGTTTTAATCCTATTATTTTTAGTTCGTAATCTCCCAAACAAGTCACTGAAAAAATCAACTCATGCAGTTGTGAAAATTTTTACTTGAAGTTTTCAATTTAAGAGAATTAATAAGTCTAATCGTAACCCGCGGTCTTGAGTCATCAATCAAATTAATGGTTTCAAGGAAGCAATTTGATTCTGGTTGCGCTCCTGTCACTTTGGTTATACATTAATTATTCAATACGGACTCAGCCCTGCCGGAGGCTACATATTTCAATGAAATTCTCTTTCGGCCTTCGAGCGTGAATAGCGGAATGTATGTTTAATTGGGCGTATAAATTTAACATGTACCTAAGTACATAAAGCAGCGATATGTAAATTTTTTTTGGGTACTTCGTAGACAGCGGTATGCAGCGGCTTGGCTCTGCTCCTGGTATTGCTGAAGTCCATGGGCGACGGTAACGACTCACCATCAGGGTGCCGTATGCTCGTCTGCCTACAAGGGCAATAAAAAAAAAAAGACCAGCATAGGTACTGCCCACCTCATAATCCGTGGTCTCGGCCTCTCAAAATTACTTATTATGAAATAACTGACTTTGTAATGAAATTCCAACCACGGTGCTTCCTGAGGACTATATTTTTATTATGTTCAAACGAGGTTTAAGCAGATTTCTGTGCTCTAAGCAGCGGCTTGACTGTCCCTGAGACATTGGCGATGAGGTTCACTGTATACCTACTATTATACCTACGAGAGAAAAACATATTTGGGCACGTGACTAATATTATAACTTCTTTGTTATTTGAAATATTCCTTGCTCTCGTATTAGTAGCAATCCTTCCTTCTACTTCGGCTCGTAACAGTTACGTGTTTCTATTTAAATAGTAGCAGAGCTATTGTACCATTGCCATTGAAACTTTAATTTATGTAAACGCAAAACATTAGATGGGCCGCTAACTCTCTTAATGATGGACGAAAAGGGTCAGTTTAGCTATTAAATTAAGTAGGGGCAATTTTAAAACCCTTTTTTTTTCATAACATTGATGTTAATTTTGGGGCGGCCTTTGTACTGTAAAATTGACAGCTAGAAATCATGTTTCAAGGGGGGATGAAACATAATGTCAAATGCTTAAATAGTCAAATAGTTGTGTTAGGTTTTTAAGGAAAAAAAAAAAAAAAAAGGTTTTTAAGTTACTAACATAGATTATAATTAATTAATACTTACTAACAAAATGTTATGGTTTATTTACTGAAATAAAGATACATTATAATAATAATTAACACTCTTGATGTCACAGTTAACATTAGGTGGGTCGTGAGTCCGTCCATTAAATATCTAAAAATACTATCGGGCTACTTAGAAGGAAAACTGCCGAGTATTTAAAAGTTTTGTTTATGATATATAAACAATATAACTAGTCAGGTCATAAGTATTGTCACACAGTAAAAACTTTTCTTTTAGAATGCTGGCCACAATTCGTTTATCGTACCATCAAACGATACAATGAAGACTCTATTGTAGATGACAGGTCAAGAAGTGGTCGCCCTCGGTCTGTAAGGACTCCAGCAGTGATAAAAGCTGTGAAGGCGCGAATTCAAAGAAATTCCAAACGTAAGCAGAAACTGTTGGCCCTTCAGAGGGGGTTAAGCAGAATCACGGTGAAAAGGGTGTTAAATGAAGACTTAGGGCTTCGGGCATATCGAAGAAAAACAGGACATCGTTTGAATGCTCGTCTAATGGACCTGAGACTGAAGATATGCCGCGCTTTGTTGAAGCGGTACGCGGGAAAAAAATACCGGGAAATTCTTTTTTCGGATGAAAAAAATTTTACCGTAGAAGAGAGCTACAACAAACAAAATGATAAGGTGTACGCACACAGTAGTGAAGAAGCGAGCAACCGTATTCCGCGTGTCCAACGAGGTCATTTTCCATCCTCAATTCTCGCTCATGGTATGGTTGGGAGTTTCTTATTGGGGCTTAACAGAGGTACATTTTTGTGAGAAAGGTGTAAAAACGAATGCAGTTGTGTATCAAAATACAGTCCTGACGAGCCTTGTGGAACCTGTTTCTCATACCGTGTTCAATAACAGGCACTGGGTATACCAACAAGATTCGGCGCCAGCTCATAGAGCGAATAGCACACAAGACTGACTGGCGGCGCGTGATATCGACTTCATCCGGCACGAAGACTGGCCCTCCTCCAGTCCAGATTTGAATCTGTTAGATTACAAGATATGGCAACACTTGGAGGAAAAGGCGTGCTCAAAGCCTCATCCCAATTTGGAGTTACTCAAGACATCCTTGATTAAGGCAGCCGCCGATATTAACATGGACCTCGTTCGTGCTGCGATAGACGACTGGCCGCGCAGATTGAAGGCCTGTATTCAAAATCACGGAGGTCATTTTGAATAAACTTTAGTGTCATAAGAATCTATGTTTTGTTAAGTTCATTTTGGTATATGAATGGTTACATAATGAATAAACTTGTTTCANGTTCGTGCTGCGATAGACGACTGGCCGCGCAGATTGAAGGCCTGTATTCAAAATCACGGAGGTCATTTTGAATAAACTTTAGTGTCATAAGAATCTATGTTTTGTTAAGTTCATTTTGGTATATGAATGGTTACATAATGAATAAACTTGTTTCAATTATTTTACATTAAACATGTGACAGAATGTATGACCTGACTAGGTATTGTTCAGCACACAACATTAATTTGTTATACCGACAGATTATTTTTAAATACCAGTGGACATCGATATGATTGTGTTCACTAAGTACTAATAAGCCGTTAACAAATTTAGAATGAATTCCGTGTACTTTACAATCAACCTACATTCGTGTTTAGTTAAGTACAACACTCAATTAATTAGCTTTAATTACCAACGAAGTACTATTATAATTGTGGATCGTCATCATGTTGGAAATAACCACAAGAAACTGTTTCGTGATAAAAGGTCTGGTTGTCTAAAAACAACTATCTAAAGCAAATTTTATTTAAAATACACTAGTGGTAGGACCTCTTGTGAGTCCGCGCGGGTAGGTACCACGACCCTGCCTATTTCTGCCGTGAAGCAGTAATGCGTTTCGGTTTGAAGGGTGGGGCAGCCGTTGTAACTATACTGAGATCTTAGAACTTATATCTCAAGGTGGGTGGCGCATTTACGTCGTAGATGTCTATGGGCTCCAGTAACCACTTAACACCAGGTGGGCTGTGAGCTCGTCCACTCATCTGTCTCATTGCAATAAAAAAAAAATACAAAACACACTGGAGTGTTATGAAATCAAGGAAAAGGTTTTTGATACAAACAATAAAATTATATAGGCGCTAATAAATAGTAGAGGAGTAGTATTAATATTGTTTTTAATAAAACAGGAAAACAGTTTTGTTTGTTCCTTTAGATGGCATTCGAATTATAAGCGACCATCCTCAAAGCAATTTGTAGTTTCTTATAAAGTTTACGTCAATTTGTTGTTCAGTTTGGTTTTTGATAAAATTAAAACAGCTAAGAATTGAAACGTAAAAAAATACGTTCTAATTTAAGGACCGCGCAATTTCTTAATTAAATAACTACACAGTTTCGCTAAATATTCATTGCACAGGAATTATATTCGTCTAATCTAACCAAAAGAATTGCGGCAAATATCTGAGGAACCTTAGGCTTGTGGAAATTGGAAAATGTTATTTTTTTGCAATTATCATCGCTGCTCGTTGAGCTTTCAGCGGTGATCGTCGCGTCGTCTGTCCTCGACAGCCTTCGGGAGAGCTCGCCTGGACCCGAGCAAGTGTGACAACAGCGACAATGATCTCACCTACCCTTTCTGACTCAACCGTGAATCATAGTCGAGAAAGAGAAGGAAGATCTCCGCCGCCTCTCTCGATCGCATTATTTCCATCCAAATCCCGGTCGAGGCTTGATATTTTCCCGTAGGCTTCAGGCTTCAGTCCCTTGAATAGCGCAGGGGGAATTTCACATTTCACGTCGCGCACTCGTACAGATAACGACTTTCTCTGGAATGATTGAGTAACCATTTGTTAGTGGCCTCGCGTTACGCGCTATTTTCAATTAACACGATGCGGAAATTTTAGTACGTGCATTTCTTGTGCTAATGTGAAGTTCATTTCATTCAGTAAATACAAAATTGTAAATTGATCGTGAGTATTGACTCAAGGTGAAGTGGTCGTCGGTCGAATGGCCGTAACAGGTTGATCTTGTGAGTATATAGTTTGTTTTTTGCTTAAATTTATTATTGATTAGCGTTTGATTTGTTTACGAAGGACGCGAGAAAGTGGTTAAAGGTTATGACCCCTCGCGCGTATTCAGAGGCTGGAGGGAGGGAACTCGTCATGTTACCTAACTATACTCCAGGAATGGAATACCTATATTCAACTATTAATAACGCAAGCCAATTTTTTTTTACTAGTATGTTTAAAGTAAGTAAACATTTAAAAGATTTTTAGAACGAATCTGTTTACAAAATAACTACAACAGCATTTTTAATATTTAAATTGTTTAATACATGTTTAATTCGTAAATAGTAATGTCTAAAAAAATAATCAATGTAAATCCAATAGATATTAAGTCTCATTCTTTCAAAATAATTAAAATATCTATATTATGAAATTTTTATTTAAACGTATACAGACAATATGCAAGAAAGCTGTGTTTCAACTTAAGCATTACAATTCAGATAAATGTTTTTTTTTTTTTTTGCATAAATTTGTTAGAACATTTTACGTGATTCTAATACTACAGATATATCATCCCGACTACCTAGAAATACTATTATAGTTTGGCATCTATCCGTCTGTAGTTGTACTTTCCAGATCATATCTTTCTACGCAGCTGTATTTTACATATTGATTGCTGGTAAAATGTTTTATATGGGTTTGTATTTTATTTTTGACACCGGGTTGCACTTGTAATACCTATTCACTATAATCGTTTTCTAATGGAACTTATACCTCAATGAAATGTTTCAATGCATTTAGCGGATTCGTTGTTCTGATTTCAACAGCTTAATGTCGTTTGGCCCTCAAAAGCATCTACCTAAATTCTACGTTGATTAATAAAATGTTAACTGATCGATTGGGTTTGCATTAATATTTTCTAACAAAAGATTCATGTTAAGTTTTTCGCCTTTTCCGATAAATCGACTTAAGCGGCTTTACGAACAATGAAATTGTATTTCAGCCCGTCCCTACGCGGATATAAAAATATACCTACATAGGTAACTGCAAAGTTCCTTGAAGTTTATATAATTAAATTTAATGTAAACATTGAATTTCGTAACAATTAGAACCTTTGAATAATAAATTAAACATAAATATAGACCGATATTTACTATATTTAGTTCTACATTAATTTATCAAGACTCGATAATTGAAAATAAATAATCTGATTACTATGGTTAATGAAACTGATAATATTAATAATATTTATTTTGAATTTGAAGGTATGAGCTATAATTAAACCCAATGATCCATTCGTCATAATTACGGTAGATAATGGTTCATGTTTAAGACTATGAGCCTTAACGAAGACTCTTAGCAGCAGATAGGCCGTGGAAATGATTTACCATAAAGCGCTGTAAGCGTCTTGTTCTTGTGCTCATTCGTGCTCAAATAATTAAAGCACGTATTATCGGTAGCTAAGTGTTCAATATCAAAGTGTTTATTGGGTGGTTAGAAAGAGTTCAGAATTCGATAACTCTCTAAGGAGCAGACGGTCTATTCAGATGGAATGACACGGCTAAGCCGTCTTTAAAAATAGGGGACAAGTGCCGATTAATAATAAAAAAAACTCAGCTTTCATAGTATGGTATGACAACGTAAATTCCGCGGTGTTATTATTAAGTTATTTACTGGTGGTAGGACCTCTTGGGAGTCCGACGGGTAGGTACCACCACCCCGCCTATTTCCGCCGTGAAGCACTAATGCGTTTCGGTTCGAAGGGTGGGGTAGCTGTTGTAACTATACTGAGACCTTTGAACTTATATCTCAAGATGGGTAGCGCATTTACGTTGTAGATGTCTATGGGCTCCAGTAACCACTTAATACCAGGTGGGCTGTGAGCTCGACAACCCATCTAAGCAATAAAAAAATAAAAAAAAATTGTTCTCGTTTGGCGACTGCTCAGTGCTAAGCAAGTGATTTTCGCGGCAGAAATACACAGGAGGTGGACATCAATAGGCACGACTTTAAAACCCAGATGAAACTAAGTCAAAACCCCGATCAAATATTTATTAGAAACGTTTCAGTTTTCATGTAGGTATTTCGTTTCAGTTGGTAGGTTGTCCCTAAGGTTTTTAACAGCGAATTAGCAACCTGTTACGGTCACTGGAAAAGATATTTGTTGAGTAAATTGTGACGTAATTAACTTAATTCGTCCGTATAGCGTATTTCAAATGAAGATATGAATTTATATCGATCAAAGTAATTTTTATTTATTTAATTGCCCTTGTAGGCAGACCAGCATACAGCCCACCTGATAGTGAGTGGTTTAATACTCTCAACAAGCCTCGTTTGAAGAAGGACATGTCATAGCGGTGCTCGGGAAACACCGTAGAGGGGAGCCCTTTCAAGTGGGAGCCCAATACGTGGCAAAAAAGATCTCTGGAAGCGTACTGTGGATGAACGCAGTGGCTTCAGCTAGTATGGATGAACTCTGCTCCGGTGGCGGGCGGTGCAATGGTAAAAACGAGATGATGGAATCATCTCAAACAATTCCTCAGAGCACTCCCTATGGAATATACGGTACAAAACGCAAAGAGAAGTGAAGTCCCTCCGCAGACGCAGAGGTTCCAAACGATCCGTGAGAATAGGATTATCAACAATCCGAACGGATCGAATCAAATGGAAGTAGCTGGTATTTGGGAGCTCGGTCTAGAGGTGAGAGCAACATTCTACGCGAGGCCAGACTTGTGATTTGTAAAGCAAATTTCTTTGCCTATTTTGGACGCCAGCTTTGTTTTGCCCTCCAAATGACTCCAAAATTGGACATCGCTCAAAATGTCGACCCCAATTATCCCAATACTAGTGGAAGGTTGCAGGGGAACTCCTTGGAATTGTAGCACCATAACAAAGGGGTCCTTCTTGGCAGTGAACGCACAACCTTGTATCTTCAACGGGCTCATCTCCAAACACCGGCCGCCTGAGTTTTGTAGCGCTTAAACTACAGACGTTGATCCTGGTAGCCATTCCATTCCATCTTGTCATTGCTAGAGCGTCTCACTCACCAAGCTTGTGACTTAGAATTACACCTTCGTCCATACAAAGTCTGTAGATTACGTCGTCAAGTTCATCTTAGATAGGAGCCGAAATGTCCTGAGGAACGCTCCAAGTAAATGTCTGATCTGACTTCTACAGACTTCTGTTTTAGTCTCTTAAAGTCCATGCGGGTGTAATTCGGCTATGGAGTATTCTCTCAATGAATTATGGACGTTAGGATAGTGCTAAGCAAATGTTAGCCAAACCTCTCAGGCTGCGCCCCGTGAACTCGCCTACACTTTTGATGAAACTAGGTTAACCCCTTGAGGTTACTAGCAGCAAGCAAGCAAAAAAAAGTAGTGCTCAATTTATTCCAGCAACGCTTTTTAATATCCTTTGTAATTCAAATGATATCAATGGGAGATCCCTTTTCTTCGGTTTTCGTGATTGATTAAAACGTTAACATATCTACTTTTACGTAAAAATAGGTATTAAAAATAGGTATGTTACCGTATACCCTCAAGTATCACCCTCAAGTTTATAATTGTCAGTATATTATTTCCGAGGTTTAGACTACTTTATAGTACGGTATTCATGGTCACGAACGGCTGGCCGTTTTAATTACTCTTTTACATACTTAAGAATGCACCGTTTTGTTTTCTGTATTATTGAGAATTCAGCTTGACTGAAACAAGATTTTATAACGTTCTTTTTCATTGTCTTTTACAGCACTAAAACTGATACTTATATATCAATTTTTATACTATCAGCCCACAGACATCCACTGTTGGACTTGGGCCTCCCCCAGGCCCCGCCGCAAAGGTCGGTCCAGCGCTATATATCAATAGCCAAAGACAAAACAACTACGTACCATTTTCTCCGCTATTTGTCATTCAAATTTTTTTTTGTATTTGCTCAATAACTGTGATCGAATTTAGGGGTTACCAAAAAAATTTGGGTATGACTGTTCAGTATACATATTTTTTTCATGTTTACTAGCGACCCGCCCTCGCTTCGCTTCGGAAACTGTAATTTATTATTAATTTCTCCACTATTTAATGAATGTTATTATACATTTGAACCTTCCTCTTCAATCACTCTATCTATTAAAAAAAACCGCATCAAAATCCATTGCGTAGTTTTAAAGATTTAAGCATACATAGGGACAGATATAGGGACAGAGAAAGCGACTTTTGTTTATTGCTTAGATGTGTGGACGAGCTCACAGCCCACCTGGTGTTAAATGGTTACTGGAGCCCATAGACATCTACAACGTAAATGCGCCACCCACCTTGAGATATAAGTTCTAAGGTCTCAGTATAGTTACAACGGCTGCCCCACCCTTTAAACCGAAACGCATTACTGTTTTACGGCAGAAATAGGCGGGGCGGTGGTAACTACCCGTGCGGACTGAAGAGGTCCTACCACCAGTACAAATTATTTATACTATGTAGTGATGTCAATAGCGAAGCTGTAAGAGAAAATGTATTACATAAAAAGAATTTAATTTTTCAAGAATGAGTAATTATGATGGAATTTCGATGATTGAGTGAACACAAATATAATCAAAAGGATTGTGGTAGTTATTTTTTAGACATTTGGTCCCGTATCGGATGTTTCATTTGCACCAAAATAACAATCCTATATTTAAAATCCCAATTCTTATTTATTATTTAACTACTTCAGTAGGTACTATTGTGGTTACTGGTGCCAACAAGAGATAGGCAATAGCGGCAAGTATCAGATGTGGCAATATTGTGGCCCCAAAATAAATACTATTATTCTGCCTAAATATGCTAGTCAGATATTTCGGTTTCATGGTAAGAATACAACTGAAATGAATTTTCAAGTTCATCGTTCATGACGGGCTTATCTATACACACTGTGTTGTCCATGGACTCTGTAACCGCTTAACAACAAGAGTGCAATAGATAAATCGGAACATTAACTTAGAGAAACCTTTAGAAGTCGGAGACTAAGTTATAAGAATATATATTATGATCCA